ACTGCAGTCCTTGACCTTCTGCAGCAAGCACTTCTGATCCTCCTCAGTTTCAAGCAATCAGGGTTGTGCCATCTACATAATTCAAATTGTTGATAAGTCTACCTCCAATCCCAATGCCACATTTCTCCTAATGTGCCAACCTCCCAGATAATCTGTTCTGTACATAGATTGAAAAGGTATGGATATAGGACACATCCCTGGTGTATACCCTTCCCGATTTTGAACCATGCAGTGTTTCCTCACTCTGTTCTGACTACTGCCTCCTGGTCCAAGTATAGGCTTTGCATAAGCACAATCAAATATTCTGGGATTTCCATTCTTCTCAGGGTCAGGCACAGTTTGTTGTGATCCACAAGTCAAACGTCTTTGCATAGTCAATGAAACATGAAACACAGATAGACATTCCTCTGGTACTCTCTGCTTTCTGCCAAGATCCATCTAACATTAGCTATAGTACCACAGCCTCTTCTAAACCCAGTCTACACATCATAAGTAACTAATTATTACTGTGAGGGTCTCCAAACCCAAGACATTAGCTCAGCCAGGAACTCTGCTACGATCTAAGAGTGTCCTTTCTTGTTAAGGGATACTTGTCAGCAGCATCAGCCAGGATTGATTTACCTGATTACCTGTCTTGAATACCCTTGAATAAGTGATACCTGTTTCAATGGGACTTTTAAAGTTACACTGACTTTGTACAGAGGATGAGCAACTTCCTTATTGGATTTGCACTGCATACATATGTATGCAGTACCTCTTTTCCGAGTTACAATGGGCTTATAAATTAAAAATACTGCCAATTCAAAACACCTCTTCCGTAACAAAGTTACCAGCCAAGGCCACCGTGGCATATTATACAGAGGGCCTCGGTGAAGAATCATCCCTGGAGTCTTTTTTTTTTCCATTTAAAAGAAATAAAGCTGAAGAAAAGATCCATAAGCAACAAAATCTTAAAAGATGTTAAAATACGAGACATCAGTACCTTAAAAACAAAACCAAAACTATCTTTTGTGCTCCAAAGAGTTCAAGTTTAATTAATTTCTGATGGAACGTTAACCAGGTACTTTCTCTCTCAAAGGGGCCTTGAGAACTCATTTGGGAGTGTTTAGTAGGAACTCTGGTGGTGCACTAACTCACAAATTGTATTGTAAACCCAAAGGTGACACTCCTGGAGCAACTGGGATCCATCAGCCACTCCCCGTGAGCTGGGCGGGCAGTCTTCTCCCAACCAGATATACAGCCTCTGAAACCTGGGTCACTATGAGTTACAGCCAACTCAATGGCAGTCAGGTAGTAATGTTAACATCTAAGTGCTGACTTATTAACCAAAAGAACCAGAAGGAACATTCCAGTCTACCCTGAGGTGCCTCAGAATGGCCTGGTGATATACTTCCAAAAGTCCCAGCCTCAAGGCTCAATGGGGCACAGTTGTTCTCTGTATCACGTGAGTCGGATTCATCTGGACTGTCACTGGCTTAACAAGGGAGAACAGCTCCTGACACAGCTTTGATCCAACTCGGTCTTGTTTTCTACGAGGGTCACCTATTTGAGGGAAGACACAGCTCTGGGCGAGACCCCAAATGAGTGGTGAAAAGAGAAAGGGAATGGCCTGGGCCACCAGCTTAGTCACATCAACTCAGCTATCAGCAGGGTGGCAGAGGGCAGCTGGCTCACTTGGCAGCCCATTTAGATGGGAAGGGCCTGGCAAGACACTGAGGGTGCTGTCCACAGACACTCTCTCAGACCAAGGGCTTCAGTGTCTGGAAATAAGACCCTTTCATCCCATCTCAAACACACAGAAAGTGATTATTTGAGGCTTGAATGGAGAAAAGGATGAGCTGACTACAGATGAAGGCTTTAAAAAAGAAGGGCTCTATTTATGTTATATTTTAAAATGTCAGTCATTTAATTTTATTTTTCTTATTCAAACTATTTTTAATGTCACTATTTTCTGATAACCCTAAATGGATACATGAAAAATGAACTTATCATTTATGCTCAAATATCCTTACAACAATGTACAGAGATAAATGTACCAAAAATAGTATGTGTACAAGTATATTAACTGAAGCACTAATTTTAATACTGGAGAAAAATGGAACAAAATCAAGAATTCATTCATTGCAAAGTGGTTCAATAAATCATGATGCTGTCATACTATGAAGTACTATGCAACAGTCAAAAGGATGGCAATTGTTTATTTAGTGCATGAAAAGATGTCTTTGATATAAACTCTCTACACAAGTGTCAGAATACGACACATGACAATTTCACTTGAAAAAATCACTAGCTCTCTATCTATAAATATATGTGTGTGTGTGTGTGTGTGTGTGTGTGTGTGTGTGTGTGTGTGTTTTAAAGTACATTTAACTTCATGTGCTCAGTAAGTTCCTGGAAAGACATGCATAGAACTTCACAACAGCCATCTTTAAAGGATCAGCGAACATGTCTGTATATTAAAACACCTAAGACTTTTCCAATTGGTTCCCAGATGAAAGCACTGTATTATGAGGTTCATGAGATACTATCATTGGTCTAGGCATGGCCCATTATTATTTCATTGCATTATTGTAAGTATAATACAAATAATATTATTTCATTGTTTTTTTGCTAAGTGCATCTAAGGATGATCCTTATAAGGACAGTGAAACTTCATCTCACATACTTTGGGCATGTTGTCAGGAAGGGCCAGTCTGCGTAAAAAAACATCATGCTGGGAAAGGTAGAGTCGGAGAGAGAGGAGGACTGTCCACAAGATAGACTGGCACAGTGACTGTAACAATGGACTTGAGCATGTTGGAACTGGTGAGGATAGCACAGGATAGGGCAAGATTCAGAGCTGTTGTTCACAGGGTTGCTACTAGTCATAGTTGAGTCAAGGGCACAGAAAAACAATAGTAAGACTCTTAATAACCTAGGTAACCATGCAGTCTTCTCACTCATTGTATTGACTTCTACAAACCTTGCTAACACTACCCCAATTCCCAAGTTAATTATTACTTTTGTAACTAACAAATCAGTAAAAATTCTGTGCCCTTTTGAGCTCATGGGTCTGGAACCAAAGTATTCTTTCCAAGCTCTGCCCTTCATACACACAGTCCTTTTTCCATCGGCCCTTCTGTCATTTTTCCAGTAGTGATTATCCTGGTGGCTCTAACATCACAAGTCACTAACTTCCAACCAGCAGCACCAGAAGCCAAGATAGACACATTTCTCATTAAAGATCTTTTCCCTCGGAGCAAAGTACATCTGTGGTTTATTCAAATACATCCTAACTATGTAATTAAAAACTGTCTAGTCTGAGCAGGGCAGACTTTCCCTCCAGATAGAATGTAAGCATTTAGTGATAGCAAGTGATCTCTTTAATATATAGGATTTCTCATCTTCGTATCAAATGCAAGAAGCCTTAATTACCGTATTTTAAGAGTCAACACAAGACAGAGGGGTGCCAAAGGGCAAAGAAAGTATGAAATAAAATCAATCTCTAAAATAAATGTTAAATTATTTGAAAACTTACCTGCTAGGATGTGCTAGTCTAACAGTTTTTATGTCCTTTGATACCATGAATTCTGACCTTTATTTAAAATGAAAGCCAAGAGTCGACATTTGGGATATATGTGGCCTTGATACACAGACTGTTCTAGTTTGAAGTGTTTGCGCTTATTTGTAAGAACCCGCATCTCCACGTCTGATCATTTTAAAGCAGTGACTTCCACAACTTGTGAAAAGCAGGTGTCAAACTCTATAACTCTATGCACGCGGTGCATCACCACATATGATTTTATGTAAAGGAGAAAATATTCAAACGTAAGTCACTGGAGCACAACAGTATTGGAAAAAGCTTTCATCTGAGTTTCCTGGCGCTTGCTTCCTCCACACATAAATTAGAGCTACATGGATTCTCAGCTTAAAAAAAACAACAACCAAAAAAAAAACCCAACAACCCAAAAACCAAACACAATTCTTAGTGTCAAGTTTGGCGTTTTGGGGTTTTCAGCTACTGGCATTTAATTAACAAGGGGTCAAAAGTATGCAAGTCAATTTTTTATTTACATTTGGAGCAAATTTCGACATTTGAATAAGCTAGCATCACACGTTCTAGACTTTTACAACATGGAGATGGTGGGAGAAGGAATGGACCACCCAGCACGGTTCTATCTGCCTTTTTACGACACTGAACTGTCTTACCAGCTGAAAACGGGATAGGGTCCCACAAATAACACAGTCCCAACTCCTTGCTCACAGAGAGGAGCAACTTAAAATCATGTGTAGTTAATACCTTCCAAAGGAGAAATGATCCATTTTCATTTGGATGTTGCCAGCTGCAGAATGGACACTACCACGACAGGCTGACATCAACTCAATGAGACCCTCAATGTGTCAAAGCAGGACTGTGCTCCATGGGGTTTTCAGTGGCTGATGTCCTGCCAACTAGACTGCAGACCATGCACAAGGAGGGTCCATTATATTAAAAACCTTGTCTCTGCTAAGTTTTAACTAAACCAAGGGGGGGGGGGGCAACCCAACCTTGTTTTTGGGGTTTAAATCTATAAGTAAGAAGCATAGTCAAATAATAAAAACTGATTCCTGCTTAAAGTATACTGCTCGGTGTGTGTGGTTGGGGTAGTGGTTATACATTGTCAGCTGGTCCTCCAGTGGTTTTCAGAGGCTGTAAACTGCATGGGAGATCATTCACTTTTCTCCCACTGAGCACCTGCTGGATTCAAACCCCCAGAGTTTGTAGGTAGGGTTGTTGTTGTTGTTGTCATGTGCCATCAAGTCGCTTGGGACTCATAGCAACCCACAGAGACCCTATGTACAAGAGCCCTAACTGCCGTTCTATCCTGTGCCAACCTCGAGGTCTCCAACACACTCATTCCCCCCACTCCACTCACAGAATCGATCCATCTCATCGAGGGTCTTCCTCTCTGTAGGCAGGGTAGGGGGTAGCAATACCTTAACCAACAGACAGAGTTACTACCTGTTTCCACGCCACTTACTCCTCTTTCCTAAGAAGCTCCTCCTCGGATTCCGTCAGGCGCTGCCGGAGCGCAGCGATCATCTCCACGGCCACATCCACCTGCCGGTTCAGGGCCCGCTCCCGCCTCTGAACCTCCTGCTTCTTCTGTGTCAGCTGCACAAAAGCTGCACGCACTTCCAGCAGTTCGGCCGTTTTCTGGGCCAACTCTTTGGTGAGTTTATCGATTCTCTTCTCGATGGTCCTATCCACTGCCTCCACCATGCGGTTGAACTTTTCTCTGACATGTGCCTCGAAAGCAGCTTTGGTGTCCGAGGTGGGGAGTCCGGGGCTGGCCCGAGGTCCTTCCAGCGAGTCTGCTCGCAGGCCCACTGCCGTGTAGGCCTGCACGTAGGATACGGGCCTCTCGGCCACCACCTCAAATGGCTTCCTGTCCTTGGAATGCTCATGGGAAATGCTATACAGGTTCACATAGCTCGGTCTCTGCTTCACCACGTGGCCACTGCTCTGCAGCTTCCCCGGCTTCAGGGGTTCCGAGGCAGTGACCAGGTCTGTGTCTTTGATGGACGTAAAGAGGCTGCATTTCGTCAGGAGGGTTCTTTCCTCGTAGCTGTGACTGAATTCCAGATGGGCCCTCAAGGACGACAGGCTTCGAAACCTGGTGTGATCACCACACCTCGGGCAGCGGAAGGGCAGGCAGACAGCAACATTCTCAAGGGACTCCTGCCAGGGATATCGGCTTTCCTCAAAAGCCTTCTGTTGCATTACTCTAAAAGTCCTGGTCAAGGGGAGAAAACAAAAATCACACTGTTTACACGTTGCCTTTAAAGATTCTACTAAAATGACTGTTGCTTCTTGCCTCCCATGAGGGATCTCTGGTGGCCTAGTGCTAAGGAGCACTCCTTCCAACCCATAGACAAGCAGTTCAAATCCACTAGCTGCTCCAAAGCAGAGAGAGACGGGCGATCTCCTCCCTTATAACCCACTGGAGAGTCAGCTACGAGTCTTTTTCATGAAGGCAAAGGCTTGGAATTCCAAATGACGTTTTAGATATTAAAATTAAGACCTAGAACCTATGAACCAAATCCAGCTACATCCGCTCACTTCTGTATTGTTTCTGCTTTTGTGACAGCTTGCAAAACTGGCTTACTGAGACCAGGGGCGCTGCAGCCCATAAAATCAAAACTATTTACTAACCTCCCCAGGAAAAAAAATTCTGACCCATGACTAAGATAAGAAAGGTGGGGAAACATGGGACCATGGAAGTAAAATCATTAATCCATGCTCAGATGGAAAAGAATAAATACCAATATGGAATTCAAGTTTCCTGCCCTCTGGATTTCAGGACAGGAATTATAAAACTGTGCCCTATTTTACTGATACAATCTTGATAAATATATACTACAAAAATGAGGAAAATACACACGAATTGTCAAAATAGGTCCTAAGAGAGCAAACTCAGCAATCTTTCCTCAAGTACAACCCAGGTACAGTGGCATTAGGCATATTAAAAATGTTTCAACCACAGCTATCTGTACCGTTCATTTTGTCTTTTAATAATGCCGCGATGGCATCAGTCTATGTATTACCGAAACAATGACCTCCCTGTGCTCTTGTTTTACTGAAATTTGGGGGTCCAGTGTAATAAATATCACCTGACATAAGTGGGGCAACAGCGATGGCCAGATTTTATTTTAAGAGTTGTGGATGCATTTGTCTTGTGTCTGATTCTGTTTTTAACAGGACCACCTCTAGAGATGGCTCTCATTTGAACCAGGTAGGAGCGGAACTCCTTCAGTAACAGGAAGTTCATGTCCTTGTAGGAATTTATTATCTCAGCCCTAGCAACAGATGACTGCTAGCAACCCGATTCTGCAAGCTGAGCAGATCTAACCCTCCAAGAATGGTCTCCACTGAAACGCAGCAAGCATTGGTCCTCCAAAGAGCTGGGGTCTCAGATGGGAAAGTGTTGTTACTGACTCTCAATCTCTTATAAGGAGGGGTGTGAACAGTCCCCAGATAGTTAAGCTGGGCAGGCAACGCTTCCAGGTCCATAAGCCTCCTCCTGGGCTCTAAAGAGAGAACCTTTTTCTGTGCTGCACCAGGCTGTTTAACTGCTGGGTTTCTAGGGTGCGAGGCAAACCTTGGGCCAGTGCAGGGCCAGAAACCACCGTTATGAGGTGAAAGAAGGAAGGTCAGGATTCTTACAAGCAGCGGGAGCCGGGCATCTCCATCCTTGGATGGAGAAATGGAAAACCACGCACCCTGGGGCACGGAGGCTTGCAATGGGCCCAGTGGAAACCAAATGCCCAGAGTTGGTGGAGAACCCTAATTTGCACGGTGGAGAACCCATCTCCTGCACCAGCAGGACAGGTCGGCAGGGGCCCGCCCAGCCTCAGGGGTCTCAGTCCTCTCTATCTCTGCCCGCCGGTGCCAGAGTGGATCTATGCGCACACGAGTTCCTGCGCGTGGGGGCCGAGATGCCGGCTCCCTCAACTCCCCACGGGGCTGCCGGAACGGGGATCCCCGCACCGGCAGTCCCGGCCGGCCCCCGGCTCTGAGCCGCATCGTGACCCCAGGGCCGGGCCGCGGGCGCACATGCCCAGCGGCCGCCACTTACCAGACTTGTTGCTGCGGCTGCAGCTGGTGCTGCTGCTACCGCGGCCGGTGCTGCTGCTGCGGGAGCGAAGCGGTTTTCAGCAGAGCCGTAAATCAGGCTGAGCCGGGCCCGCTCCC